TCAGTTCTGGTTCAATGAACTTAGTTCATGAACCTAAATTGAACAGGACTGAACCTAGGAACACTAGTTAGGGCTAACCATTAAACTACTATATTCTTATAAGGTTTATCCAAAACTTAGTACTCATCTTTTTGATGTTTTCTTTATTATCTTCTATTAATTACAACTAAGAACTAACAGAACTTTCCAGATTTCTAATTCAAATGGCCTGGTATAATATATCTTACTATTCTTTTCTTTTAGCAATTTTAGTGATCTAATTAGTTATGTATTCTTTTACACATTTTATCATTTAGTTTATTTAATTATTTTTAATAAAGATATTTCATAAACTTTTATCAGTTTGATAGCACTATCAAAAGTTTGTACTACCTTCTTACTCAGAATTTCTAAATAGACTTCTGACTTCATAGTTTCTTCATTTTTTGCACCTAATAGTCTTATTATGGATTTGCACTAAAGTCTTATACAATACTAGTTAAATATTTCTCTATGTATATATAATATTGCACTTTATATAGATGCTCTGAGCTTCTATTTAAGATGGTGTGACTGAAGGTTACAGATTTATCTAATCCAACTGATCAACAGAGTCAGTTACTATAACACAGATATAATTTTCAAAATTTGATATTTATAGGATTTGAACTCTTGATTTGCCACTTGAAGATTGACAATCTGACTATTTTACTAGGTCACCATATTATAAAAATTTAATTGCTTGTTTATTTATATAATTAAATATATAAATTATTGATCAATTTTTTTAATTTGTTTTAAATTTATAATAACATTTATTTTTTTATTTATATATAAATTAAATATTTTTTAGACCAAATTATAAAGAAATAAAAATCAACAAACAAAAAACATGTTTTTTTGAAAAGTTATATGATTGATACAAATTAAAATTAAAATTAATTAATTAATTAATTAGTTAGTTAACAACTAATTAACTGAATTTTTTAAACACCAACCAATCAATTAAAAAATAATTGATTAGTTGCAAAGAATTAATTAAAAAATTATTTTTTACTTAATAAATTAGTTGCAACTAATTAATTAATCAACAAGTTGCAATTAATCAATTAATCAACAAGTTGCAATTAATCAATTAATCAACCAGTTGCAACTAATTGATTAATCAATTAATGAAACCAACTTTGACAATTTGTCATTACTGATCACGTTATATTGTATTACACAAAATTGTGTATTGTGATTGGCCAATCTTGGTAAATAATATAAATTAATATTTTTGACTATATTGAAAATATTTTTGCCAAACCAAATTTATATTTTCATGTTCCTGGTGGTGGTATTTCAATCATATGATTCTTCTATATTGCTTGACAGGCCCATGACCTGCATTTTTGGGTGTCTGTTCTGGCTGGGTCGTCCAGTTTATACGAAAATTTATGAAAAAGAGGCTTTTGTTAACCAATAAAACCTTAGCAAGAAATATTAAAAAGCCATGGATACAGGTTAGGCTTTTATAACTGTATAATAAACATATTACACGAATTGATGCAAATCTTAAAGATGGTGTATAAGCTCATATATAAACATTATTACTTTACATTTGTATATCAAGGTTGATTTTAAAGCCCTTCAGATTGTCATAAAACTAATTTTACGTTTAGTCAAAAAATTCCATCTCTAATTGTAACTTATACAAATATCAGTTATATATATTTTTCTTTCATTAAAGTTTTAAAATATCTTATTCGTAGCTTTCCTAAAAATGATGAAAGGTTTTCAATATATCTGTATCTTTGAGAATGTTTGAAAACCTGACTTATAGAGAGCCTATTAACACCCAAGTTTTTTTCAATTACTGTATTTGTCAACGAAGATGCTTAAAAATAACATATTTCTACATTCAACAAGAGATATACACGTACGTAATCTGATCTTAAATTATATGTATCAATTTTATTGAATCTATTATGCCGAAATCACCAACTAAATAGAATCGGCCGGAATATCATTCGGTTAATTGTTATAGGTGTTTCAGGAATTATGAAAGTATTTGTAAACATTCTCTTAACCGGTTCAACCGAAATTTTTTGGATGAGTTCGGTTATCCGATTATGACCTATCCGGTTCAAATCATTAGATGTTACTACTATTGGAAACTGGTAAAAGTTAATTCATCAGTATCTTTAGTCCCCAGAATCGTAATTCATGTGTTATCTTGAGTTGGGTTATTCAATAAAACGCGCCTGTACATACGTACGTACGTACGTACGTGTGTAATACGATAACAGATAACAGATAAGTAACTATTTCGTACATTTTCGATGGCAACCCATACCATACCCCGAGCCGTTTTTTTTATTTAAATAAATTAAAATTGGCATTCTCAATAGTGACTTATTCAAGTTTCAGTAGTATATGCATGAACAATTGGCTATTAAAGTACATTTTGTTTTTAGAGTATTATTCCCATGCGGAAATTGAAGAGTCTAGATTCCTGCACTTTATTAAAGTTGATAATTTAAAAATTCAATGTGTTAAGCTTTGGATATTATCTCTATATAAAGACTAAAGCTTTTAGATTACCCGAAATACTTATTTGTGCAAGTAATACAACATAGAAAGGGGTGAAATCTAAAGTAATACGTATAATGAGAATTTCTATTATATTTTTTTAATTAGAGATTAAGGCTAATTAAGGTTAGGATAAGAGTACATTAAGTACTGTGACATCATATTTCTTGTATTTTTCGAATTGATAACGAAATGTTTCAATTTATCATGGTAAATAACCATTTATTATGCTGAATTACTATGTATAAAAATTTTATCATGGTGAATTACTATATATAAAATTTGAAATTTACACATAAAAGATTAAATGTTAATAAGCATATACATACACATATGCGCATACGTATTCCAGCCCATTTAAGCTTGGACTCGATCCATCAAAAAGTTTTAAGGAGTTTTATAACTTAATTAACTAATCAATTGTGTAGTCTACGATCTAATCCGGGTAGGGATGTGATCGGGTGTACGTGGTAGTCAAAACAAACTTTTGTTTTCTTAGTAAAAAAATTATGTGTAAAATTAAATCGCATTATAGTTAGAACAATGTGATAGCTATTTGTAGAATTTCACGAGAAACATTTTTAATTAGACAGCAGAAGATGGTTTCCTAATAAAAATTTAGAGCTATTGGTTTTACGTTACACCTGATCTTAAAATTCGATTGGTCAAAATTATAGTCGGTCCCGAGCAGATTTGGGACACCACATTATTTAAGTAATACAAAGGATTCATTGTGTCACAGGTTTCACATGACAGGTGTTGAGTCCGCATGGGACCGAGTACAAATTAAGACTCGACTTCTGGGACCGGACCGGACTTTTCACGGGTAGTCCTAGTTTGATTAATAAACGAACATAAATGGACGATAATAATGCTAAAATTAACCAATAAGAATAATTGATCGAATCAGGTAGGTACGATAATTTCAGTATCACCATTAATTGAATGATACTTTGTTTCACAAGAGTTAAACACTAATCAACAATATCGATATGAGATTTTATTCCAGCAATCAATGCAATGCTATTTTCATATAGTACTTTGCAAAAAAGATACGACCAAATGATGATATACTAAGATGATATTGAAATAGAATGATGCTAAAGTAGGATAATGGAAATGTGGAATGAGAAATAAACAATTAACTTGTTTTTTGATTTCTAAGCATATAAAAACACTTAGTATGAAAATTTACGTATACGTAGTATAACGATAACGATAGGTGCACAGCATTCGTTAACTTATGTAAGCTAGCTTTCTATTCTAACCACAATTATTTAAATATATATAGTTTTAATAAATTACTAATTTAAATATTCAAAGGCCATTAGGATACGTACTAGGGATTTGAACCGCCTAAAAATTTTCTTAACCCATTTAACCGTTTAATTTGACTGGCATTAAAAGAATTCTGGCCCACAACTAACATAATTCTGCCCGGAACTATGAAGCAATTTTTAAACGGTTAAACGGTTCCAATCCTTATAGGATACCTAATCGTGTTGTATTAAAATGAATACGTAGAATTTCGCTATCTACCCCTACCCTTGAAACATTTATTCTCGTGTACAACATATGGGTACTACATTTATCGTCAGGGTACCTCTTAATTAGCAGGAAATATCCGAGTTGATTTTTGCAAAAGTAGGTTCAAGAAAGCGCATGGTTGGATAAACAGAGATCTATTGCTAATACATACCGGTACATACGAATAAGTCGTAAAAGTCTGCTGATTGATCATTAGTCAACAAATAAACATTTTTATACGTATAAACATTTTTATATAAAAATTTATATTATATAATTTGATTTTTTTAAATGTCCAATATTGGTTACAATTAAGATTTCATTTCTTGATTTTGATTGATGACAATCACCTGGTGTAAATATTCGTGATTATGTTTGTGTTATCTTCGATAATCAATCTTATCAAGTCAATCTAAATGTGTAACTTAAAATTTGTGAGAATGCTTTATTATTTCGATATTGGACTTAGTATGGACTGCATTATAACATGCTGTGTGGTTTTTGAAAATCTGTGTTCTATATCTTTATACTTAATTCCGAAATCAAAACAATTTAAACTTAAAACAATCTATTCATTGTTATCTATATAAACTTTTTAAATGAATGCGATGAAGTCATTTTGTTTTTTTTTGAGATAACGAACAATTTGATCTAGTATTTATTGTTTACGTCATTCAATTTTTATACGTACTACTGTAAACCATAGTGATCAGTATATAACGATAAGGTTTGTGAATGTTGATGTACATTCATATTTCCAAGACATCCACCTTAGATACCATTGCTTATATTTTACTATTCTCGAATAAATACTCTATTAAGTTTGTATCTAATCTTTTATTCAAATAACCGTATTACTGTCAGTCAAATTTTGAAAAAAAAGTAAAACATTGTTGATTATTTTGATCTTTTTCTAGAATATGTGTGGGATCTTTGCAGCTTTTAATTATCAAGGTGACATCCACAACTTTCGTCGGCGGGCTCTATTACTTTCTAAAAGGTTTGACTTTTTTCATATCAAATATCTGGGCGATCTAATATTTTTGAACTAATATTAATATATCCATTAAACTTTTGCCTTTCTAAATTAGAATAAGACATAGAGGCCCTAATTGGAGTGGGTGTGAGATTTCTGGTAACAATATCATTTGTCACGAACGACTAGCCATAGTTGGTGTTGGTATGTATTGAATTAATAAATACAAAAAAATTTTTTTTTCTTTTTTTTTTTTTTAAATCTTTTCACCTCTTTTAGAAAGTGGAGCTCAGCCACTCACTAATGATGATAAATCTATAATTCTTTCGGTTAATGGTGAAATTTATAATCACAAAACTTTAAGAAAACAACTTAAAGATGGGGTACAATTCAAGACTCGGTCAGATTGTGAGATTATCCTTCATCTGGTAATGGTCAAACTTAAAAAAATATATATAATATATATATATATATATATATATATATAATGTTATATATATTTCTTTCTTTTTTTAATTCGATCTAATTTGATTTCTTTTATTTAATAGTACTCTGAAATAGGAAATGATGTTGTTAAACGACTTGATGGAATGTTTTCCTTTGTCCTTCTTGATACAAATAGAAATCGATTTATTGCTGCACGTGATCCTATCGGTATCACTACACTTTATCAAGGCTGGTCATCAAAGTCTCCCAGCACTGTTTATTTCGCTTCAGAGTTAAAAGCACTTCAGGATGATTGTGATAAAATCATTTCATTTCCTCCGGGCTTTATATATGATTCTGAAACTGGTGAGACGACAAGATACTACCAACCTATATGGTGGAATAATGATTTCATACCAACTACTTCAATCGATTATAGCTTATTAAGGAAAACTATGATCAGAGCTGTTCAAAAAAGATTAATGAGTGATGTTCCATTCGGTGTCTTGTTAAGTGGTGGTTTAGATTCAAGTTTAATCGCTGCAATTGCAACAAGGGAAGCTGCTAAATTAGCTGCTTCTCAAGACGGTCTCGAAGATGATGAACTTGATGAACGTAAGCATTATTGCCTTTATTATTATTACCTTTATTATTATTACCTTTATTATTATTATTAAAAATTATTATTATTAAAATTTAATTACCTTTATTATTATTACCTTTGTTATTATAACAGGTGTTGTAACTACATGGACCAAGATTCATTCGTTTTCTATCGGACTTCCGAATTCTCCTGATTTAATAGCTGCACGTTCAGTTGCTGAATTTCTTGGCACTGATCATCATGAATATACCTTCACTATTCAAGAAGGTCTTGATGCTCTTCACGATGTCATATATCATTTAGAGACTTATGACGTAACAACTATTAGAGCTAGTACTCCAATGTATTTATTATCGAGAAAAATTAGTGGAATAGGCGTTAAAATGGTCTTAAGTGGTGAAGGAAGCGATGAAATGCTTGGAGGTATTAATTTGATTATACTATATAATATCATAGTATATATATCATAGTATATATATGATATTAAAATGAAAATAGCAAATGACAATGTAATTTAATTCTATTGTTAAATACTTTTTGTATATTTTGTATTTTTTGTACATTTTTGCATATTTTGTACATTTTTGTATATTTTTTATATTTTGTATATAGGTTATCTATATTTCCATAACGCTCCATCTGCTGCAGATTTTCATAAAGAAACTGTCGCACGTGTAAAGAACTTGCACACTTCTGATTGTTTGCGTGCCAATAAATCTACAATGGCTTGGGGACTTGAAGCTCGAGTACCATTCTTGGATAAAGATTTACTTGATGTTGTGATGACAATTGATCCTGAAGAAAAGATCCACAAAGATGGAAAAATGGAAAAAGTATGTTTATTGCTTTATTAGTGCATATTTCTAAAATTTTTAATACATATGTATAATATATATATATATTTGTTTATTATGTTATTATAGTACATCCTTCGTAAAGCTTTTGATGTTTCAACAACTGGTGATTCTCATCCTTACTTACCTGATTCGATTCTCTGGCGTCAAAAGGAACAATTTTCTGATGGCGTGGGCTATAGCTGGATTGATTCTCTCCGTGACATTAGCGAAAAATCTGTTACCGATGAACAATTAGCAAATTCTGCTAAACGTTGGCCTAAAGATCCTCCACAAACTAAAGAAGCTTATTGGTATAGAGAACAATTTGATAGTTTATTCCCAGGTGATTATTGCACAGAAAGTGTTGTAAGATGGATTCCAAGAAAAGATTGGGGTATGTCATTATCTTAAATGATACTTGTTAAATCGTAAATTTTTGATTTATTGTTATTATTTTTTATTTATTTATTTATTTATTTTGTTGCAATCATAAAAAGGATGTTCCGAAGATCCATCCGGTCGTGCCCAGAGTGTTCATAATTCTTCTTATAAACAAGATGATTTGATGCGATACCAACCTCGTGAACATATTTCCGAGAGTCAACTATAGGTTTAACTAAGTGTTGGGCATCTTAATATTTTTCAATTTATCTAATGCCCAACACTTTGTTTAACCGTTCGCTTCATACAATTATTTAAAACATTTTACTATTAGCAAAAAAAATTTTTTTTATTTCCATAGTTATTTAAAACAAATATTAAAATTCAATCTTAAAAGCTTTTTTGTTTTTGGTCTTTTTTTATTACTTTGAATAATTACGATAATGTATTTTTATTCATTTCTCTTGTCTGTTGCATTCTATTATATTCAGATGCATGTATATTTTTCATGGACAAAATTATTTGCATAATAAATTATAGAATAATTTCTATCTATATACGTATTACTTTTATCGTTATGAAATAAATTCATAAATATATATCTAATAATTAAGGGTGTATTTTAGAGTTGAGTTTATCATATACTCTAACCTTAATTTAACTAAGAAATTCCGGTTTCACTTACGACATATGAGTGTCGCCCGAAAATTTAAATATAAGTCATATTTAACTTTTCGGGGTTTCTTTTAGCGACACTCATATATAAACATCACATACTTTTTATAAAAATTATTAACGCAAAAGATTAGTTCTGAATTGCTAAAATTTCTAAATGCTATTTCGAGTGTCATTAAATTACTGCATAACGTAAATCAAGAATGACACTTGTATATATCCAGTATTTTAAGTTATTTTTGTTGATAGTATTGTTTTAAGATCATATAGATCATATGAATGGTTGACTAACATAATTAATATATTAATAACTATAACCTATTAATGATACAAAATATATTTGACTAGCATTATTCTGAAGATCGTAAATTCTTTTGAAATCTTTTAATTAATGCTCGTAAAATGATTATGTGTCAGAGTCTATTACGTACGCACTTACGTACGTACGTAAGTACGTACGTCGTATGTACATTTATATTCATAAGGAACGTGCCGATAATCCGGCACGTGTAACATTGCTATATACTAGAGTTGGTTTTCAAATTCTCGATAGTTCGTTGATACGTATATAAAATTTATCGAGTTTCGTTTATACCGTGATCAAACTGAAAAATAGATCGAATCTACTTTTTACAAAGAATGGAACAAATACAAAAAATACTTCACTTATTATTAGAATCTAACCTCAATGAAGGTTTAAAAAAAGCAATTGTAGAAAAGCTCTCCTCCGAACCCGATCACAAAATGCCTGAAATACCTGAAAATATTTGGAAAAATTTATGCAATTTTTTATATGATCTTTTATCAGAGGTATTATTAAAATTTTTTTGTTTTATAGCTTTTTTATTTCTATCTAAACAGGTCGCGTTTTAATTATTTTAGAAGCCAACTCGTATACACGCCGAGGTTGGTGAAAATGTTCTGGCTTGGGTGGCCCGTACTCAACCACAAATATATATGGAATATTTTAATTCAGACGACTTAAAACATAACCTCGAACGAGTTGGTGCAAATGTATGTTTTAAATAAATAAATAAATAAGTAAATATATATATATATATATCCACTCTAGTTATAAATAATCTTTGATTTATTCTAGGTTCCAGAAGTATATAAACATCTAAGAGCGACAACAAAAGTGATCAAATACAAAGCTGGTATTTAAAAATTAATAATAAAATAGATATATGATATATATAGCAATAAAATATGATTAATCAAAAATTATCTTTTTTTTTTTTTTTTTTAATACAAATTTTACATATTTAGAGATAGCAGATGACCAATATATAGGATGTATTGAAAATGATTGTCAATTATTACAGAAATGTGCCGAAAAATATTTTGTTCAATGGAAAGGGAGATTTGATTTACAATCATTATTCATACTTATGTTTTGTGACCTACCAAAGACTATTCCTTCGGATCGAAATATGGTCATACAAGTAAATACAAGAAATAACTTTTTGTTTTTTACATGTTTTTTGTGTAATATATGTATATATATATATTTAATATTGACTTTTATTTAATTTTTTTTTTATAATAAAGTTACTTATACATACGTTAAGTCTGGTACCTAATGAATCAATAGACGGAACTAACCGTGAATACGTAGAGAAGTCAGTACATTTGATCGAATCATTATGGAAAGAAAGGTTAGACAATTTATTAATTATTTTAATAAAAAAATATATATATATACTCAAGATTTATTTATTTTATTAGTGAAGAGTTAATAAATTTCACAATTCGAGAAATATTCATAAGGCTTTCAGCACTTTCATCACATTCATTTGCAATCGCGTTACTTATTAGTAAAATACCATTGGATCATTTGTCTGGTAAAATTGAATCAATTAATTCATGATAATGAAAATTACGCTTATCGAACGTTTTTATTAATGATTTACTAAATTATTCATTAATTGTTTATATTGGAAATTTATTAGTAATTTCACCTTATATTCAAAAAAATTTTCGTGAAGATATTTCGCGTTTCGAATTAAGTATACGGCATATGATTGAGATGATACCACATCCATTTGCTAAAAATATAGGTAAATGATTTAAATTTCTATTATTTTTTAAATTTAACAATTTTTAACGTTATTAAATTCTTTATTTATTTAGGTCATTGGATCGTTGGATTAATGAAAGCTTTGGAAACTGTCAAAGGTCATGATCTTTTAATTCGAATCACACGTAACAATATTACAAAAGGTAAATAAAAAATAATTATTATCGTTATAATAATTCCTTTAAATATAATAAACAATTAACTAATAAATTATCTATATATGTTAGTTTTCAACTATTTACGGGACAAAAAATCACGTGAAGAGGCTTTATTGGTTGTTGAATATATGCTTCTTGGTTATCAAATTGCACCTGACGTTTTTAAGTTAGTTGTTCCAATGTACTCAGAAATGTTGGAAATTATATCTCTAGAGGTTTGTAAATTATTTGTAAATTTAATTATTCAATACAATTATTAAAATTAATATTATTAATAATTTTTATTACATTCGTAAAAAAAAATAGCGTGATCAAGTTAAAGAGTTGCGTAAGCTTTCTAGCATTGCTCAATGTTTAATGACCCGTTTTCCTACAAATCAAAATCAATATACACCTATTAAACAGAAATTAGAAAGTTTGGAAATGGTATTCTATTTTAAATATATTAAAAAATTTATTTACATTGTATTGATATATACTATATTTACGTTGTATTGATATATATTATATTTATGTTGTATTAATATATATTTAATTATATTGTATTTATATAATTTTTCATATTTAAATTAATTAGCCAAAATTAGATTCAAGTGAAATCAGAACTATTCTGCAAGATCATAATTGGCATAAAGACATAAAGATTACAGGTAAATTCTTGACCAATACATGTACTTTTACTAATACTTACGTTATCAAGTTATCTAAATTATTTCTAATTATTGTCTTTCTAGAATCAACATACAAACCTATTGAAAAATCTGAAAAATCACGTAAAAGAATTGGGTTACAAAATTTAGGGAACACATGTTTCATGAATAGTGTGCTGCAGGTTGATACATTTTATATTTTAACAAATTGTAACTACTTACTCTTTATTATAACAATGATAACTTATTTAACATAATAAATTTTTATTTTAATATTGCTGTATAAAAGGCACTCTTTAACTCATTGGAGTTTCGAAATCGTATAATCAATGCAAGCACGTAAGTTATTATTATTATTATTATTATTATTATTATTATTATTATTAAATTTATAAGAAATTTACTATCTAAATCTCTTTTCTCTTTTAGTAATAAATCCAAAACCTCAACATTTCATCAACTTAACGTCTGTTTCGGTGCTATGGCTTGCTTAACTCAGTCATATGTTTCACCTTCTGCATTATTGGAGGTTAGAATTTTATTAGTAAGGTGTGATGTTGTATAGTTTTTGTTGAATCTAATAAAACAAAATTTTATTTATTGTTTATAGACATTTCCTCGTTGGATTAATAATGGTCGTCAACAAGATTGCCATGAATTTTTGAAGCAAGTTATATAATTGTATTTATTTGTACTATTTTTTGTCTTCAATATAAATTTCACATTTAATTAAAACAATATATGTTACAGAATTTTATTTAGTCAAATTGAAGAAGAGTTTAATCAATTTGTATCTAACAAACGACCACGACTTGAAATAGACAATCAATCTACATCTCAGATTAATTATAATGAATTACCAATTTCTACATTTGGTGGTACATTGGAAAATACGATAAAATGTTTATCATGTGGTAATCAATCAAGAACAAAGGTAATAATAATAATAATAATAAATATTATAAATTGATTTTTATGAAATTATCTAAATTTTAATAACTAATATTTTTATGTTTTAACCTTTGAAAAGGAAGATTTTCATGATCTTACATTATCACTTAAAGTTGAAAATGAATGTGGGTTGACCCATTAATCACCAATATTTTGAATTTAATACTTCATTTATTTCTAACTATATTAATTACTTATTAGCTGATAAACTTTCACTTGATGCTATGTTACTTGAATTTTTTACTCCAGAAGAGTTAAATGAAGATAATCAATATTTTTGTGATAAATGTAATGGATTACAAGATGCAGTTAAAGTATGATTTTTTTTTTTTTAATCTTTAAAGTTAATTCATATTGACAAATGGTTTGTGTACGATTTAGACAACACGAATAATTGTCCCTCCACGTTATTTGATATTATCACTTAATCGATTTGAATATGACACAAGATATGCAAGAAGAATAAAAATTATGACTCCTGTAAGTTTTAATATTATTAGAGGATGAAACCTAAGTTAGTTTTGGTTACCTTTTGATGCGGATCAATTCAAATATAAATAAATAAATAAATATAGATATATGAGGGTGCCAAGCGACGTAAAATTAGGGTAAGATATTAGGTAGTAACCTGCATCAATAAGGTAACCATTTTTGACTGTGGATTCATCCTGTGTCATTTTGTTATTATTTTAAAACTAATGAATTTGATTAAATATTAGGTTATGCTTCGAGATACATTATCTTTAAAGTACTTTCCAGACACAAATGAACATAGTTCAAAAAATGAGTCAAATCACACTAATGGATTACATCATCCAATGAATGGAACAGTTGATTTAAAAACAAATGGCAATGGAAATTATTACTATGATACAGATAGTGATATGGATAGTGAAACAGGTAATGCTGAATATGATTTGTCTGCAATTGTTGTACATTCCGGAACATCTGCGGAATATGGACATTATTATACTTACGCAAAAGATGAAGGTATGTATGTTAATTTTAATTATGATCAAAATTAAAAATAATCATAATTTATAATTATGATCCAAATTAAAAATAATCACAATGTATAATTTGATCAAACTTTAAAAATGATCCAAATTAAAATAATCTCAACAATTCATTTTCTTTTATAGAGGACGGTAATTGGTATCATTTAAACGATAACTTTGTTATAACGTCTACTTTGTCAAAAATCATTGCAGAGGGTGAAGATTACAAATCCGATACACCATACCTTCTTTTCTTTAGGCAAAAGATCTAATTTCAGGAAATAGTTTCAGTCAAATGAAGTTGTAAAATCTAAAAAAAAAAAAAATAATAATAATAGTAATAATAATAATGAATAAAAAATAATGATAAATAAAACTAAAAATACCAACTTTGCAAAAGTAAACTATTGTTCATTCATTGTATTGAAATCTCCTAAAAGACAAAGAATTTGTACACCTGAACAAAAGGTCGCGAGGAATGTTAGAAAAAAAAGTTGAAAAGTTTAGCTTAGATGAACAGTATGATTTAACGTGATAACAAATAATACTCCTTTCTAAACATAATACTATTATACAGTATATGAACTTAAAAGATATTATCGTATTGTCCCAATAAACCAATTATCAAAAGTCATAATCTTTCGAAAGAGTGTTAAAAGTTAAATTCATAAGGTTCTTAAGTGTTATTAACATTTTTGATGATTTGCTTTTATATTTTTATTTTATAAATTTCTTTATCAATAGTATTGTGTCTGTTAACTTTTGTGCTTTAGAATGCATTTTTTTGGTCTGCCTAGTAATCGTCGGTTAACTTAAGATATATATGCAAATCAGTACATCAAGGCAGTCACTTTTATAATAAATATGCGTGTGCATTTAAAGCATCCACTCTCATTTATTTCCTTTTTCATGAAATTATTGTAAGTTTTACATTATATAAAATTTAAAAAAACAGTATTATAAAATTTATACTTTAAGTTTTTCCTCTAATTCTGTAATTATTTAATCTATATGCATATGTGACTAAAGTTGACATTTGACCAGAATTGTTAATGATCGTATTTTTGTGATTAACTAAAATTTCTACAGAGGATAACAATAGACTGAAAAGATTTATTATTGTTATTACAGGGGTAAAAGCCGGACATCACCTGAATTTAGCACTTCATGAACAATGATCAAAATACATGGATAAAACCCCAACCTCAATTCTAACCAATCATTTTTAGTTAGGACTCTTTTTTTCCTGTAGGAAGAGTCCCATCCAATCATATTCAACCATTTTATAGCCATTTTTATTAGGTTTTTTGTTTTTACAAAAAAGAGTCTTAACCTCGCTCTACCCAATCCTAACTGTTCTATGGCCAGTTTATGTTAGATCTCTGCTTATTGTTTGCTTTAGCCCATGTTCTTTCGTTTATATTTTTTTCAAAATTATTAACTTTTCTTGTTTTGTTATTTTATTTTATGTTCGATGCTTTTTTGTTTTTTTAGTGTTGTTTTTTTGCTTGTTTTTTTTCGTGTACTTTTCTGTATGAATGTTATTTGTTTGAGTATCATCGCTTGTTTAGAAGAATTCATGAGTTTAGAATAACTTTATTGCTTAACAAAGGCTGTCATCTTGAATTGTTTGAAAATTTATATAAAAAAAAAAGGAAGAATATTCGATTTCTCTTATTTTAATAACGAAATCAGTTTAATCGATAAATTTCAATATTTTTTACAATATTTTTTATTGCAAAAAAAAATAAATATCACCTTTATATATATAATTTTCATTTTTGTGTTTTGATTTTAAAAAAGTTACTATAGATAAAAGTACAGTCAAGGGATATACCGAATTAGGAAATCGCGTTCTAGAATGATCTACAGGCGAATTCTTCAATTTGATTGGCTTCACATGCCTATTACCATCTACAAAGTCGTACATTACTGCATTAATAAAAAAATTTTTTTTACAATAATTAATCGTTAGCAGACCTTTCGAATATATAGATTGAGACGTCTAGTTTAAGTAATCAACAGTAATCAGTTCTAATCAGCTTTAATCAAAAAAGTAAATGAGAGTCGAAATTTGAGAGTTTGTTTCATTTAAGCTAAAGCGTAGAACCTTGAACTTACTAACGTGAGCTTATATTTTAAATATTTTTTTATAGTGGCGACTTCCCAGAGACAACTAGCAGAAGAACTCAGATGCATTTTTGCAAATTTAATTAGAACGTATAGTGATATTGGTTTGAAACCTTGTAATCCAGACCCACGAAGCCGACGACATGCTGATGGTCCAAAGGCAGCTAAGTGACTTGCTCTTTTTCATCCTTATATGCCAGAACTTGCAAATCTTTCTTTAGCTTCGCATTCTCTTTGTTCAAAGCATTATATGCAATTAGTTATTAATAATCATTTTTATGAGCTTCTTAGTGATTCATATCAAGATCAAGAAAGCGAAGAAGAAAGTCAAGAAAATAAAAAGGCCCGGCTTGATACTGATCAAGGCTATCCAACTGCTTATGCTAATCTAACATTCGAATTTGACAGGACTAAGGAACTTTTGGAGCTTGCTCAGCTGGAAAATGACCAGAAATCCCAATTAATTGTAGAGCTCAATACTAGAATTGAGCGAATGCAGCAATATTTAGAAAATCAGAAAAAAGAGGTAAAAGAATTGAAAAAGTTGTTACAAAATGCCAATGACAACGCATATGTGATCTGAGATTTATATGAAGAGCAGCGTAAAAATAACGAAGTTCTTATTGAGCAGTGGGATTCAAGGTTTTCTACTTAACAGAAACGAATTGATTCAGTTATTGAAATAGCGAGAGCAGAATGTGGGATGTTTTTTGATGATATTAGAGAGTTTTTTCTCTGAATTTTGTATTCTTGTATATTTATTTATAATATTTAAAATTTTTAATACATATTCTTTAGATTCATTAATTCAGGACAGCAATCAGTTTACTCTAGAATGTCTTATGATGTATAACCCATGTGAATGGCTTAATAAACGTAATCAAGTAGTGGTTAAGTTTGTTGAAACTTTGGTTAAGAACAATCAAGCCACTGAGACCTCAAGTCAAGAAAAGCTTTTTAAAACTGTTGTTGCAGTTGATTCAATGTACGGGGCTCGACATAGAAAATATGTGTCAGAAATTCAACTCGCTATTTCGGCTATTAAATATTCAATAGCACGATCAAAGATGGTTATTAACATCGATAACCATATCATAAGCTCGGGAAGCTATTATAGATTCCAAAGATGGCTTGAGGAACTTTCAAAGTATGAAGAACCATTGCCCGAAGGCCTTTTGTTCCTCGTGTTTGATAATGAGCAAAGAGGACAAAAAAATTATCTTGATCGAAAATTCAACACAGTTATTTATTATATCGTCACCAGTTTCATTGCTTTTAATATGTCGTCACAAAACAAAAGTCAACATACTAATTTACCTTGGGCATGTAGTTCTCTTAGCAGGTCTCAATATGAAGAATTGTTTAACATTAGTACCCAAATGCAAAAAATCATCGACGAAGAATTACAGGCTTATTTAGCCAAGATTCTTATGTTATTGTCTGAAGAAAAGTCCTCTACTAATGTTATTGATTCTCTTGCAGCGTCTATTTCAGTTGATGTTACTAAATTGAAATTTTGTTCTAGTTGCAAACTTCGTAATATTGAGAATAAAAGAAAAAATTGTCCAGATTGCAGAACACAATTGCCAATATTGGTCGAAATTCAAAAAGAGAAGGCGAATGAAATCGAAAGTAATATAAATGAACAATTATCTAATCAACTTATTTTTAAACCTTATAGAATTGATGACAAGCAAGGCACTACGTGTACTCCAAGGATCAGTCTTACCCAACGAATTGCCGATCAAGAAGTTAATATTCCCAAAATCTATGTTCCTGATCCGATTAACCTTAATCCTAATTTGGTGGCAAGTGTTGAACAAATTCTTTTGCATATAGAGAAAATATCAGGTATCAAGGATGGAATCCGTAAGTGGGTAGCAGTAGCGTGTGATGGCGTCCCATACCGCTATGCTAACAAGTTAAAAGAAAAGTTTTCTTGGTTAGTTTTAATACCTGGTCAATTACACAAAGAGATGAATATGCTTCGTGCGTATGTAGAATTGAACTGGTAAATTATTTGAACTTAGCATTATTTACAATTTTTATATTTTAGATTTTATTTATACATATATTTAATAGTACAATATTTATTTAAATATTTATTTATTTATTTTAATTAGGGAAATAGATCTAAAGCGATTCACAATGAACCAAGGTTATCGAAGCGAAAATCAACTCGCATATTTTAAAAAATGCGCCGATCATCATAAGGCGTGGGATTCTATTTGTGTTATATACCGTCAAGCAATGGCTATGGAACTTTTGTGGCCTTATGTAAAAAATCACCCAAACCCATCAGTTGAGGGATATCTTATTTGGGTTAAAGAACAGTGAGATCCACTTTACTATATAAAATATGAACAGGTAAATAGTGATTATTCTATACTTTTATGATGATTAAGAATTTTTTAATATTTTTTTATTATAATAGACATTCGTATACCTCCAAGCAATTGTCAATTATCGGAAAGCCATAAGATTTAATGATCCGTTTTTAAAAAGGACTGCAAAAAGAGTGTTTTCTCCTATTTGGTCTGCGCGATGTCATCCTATTTATCGTCTATTAGAAGTTGCTGATGAAGTTCAATTGATGCAACTTCGTCCTGAGATACGCAATGTTGTGGAGAGAAATTGTGTCGTTTCTCGGTCTGGGATATACAAACAACATCAAGGATTAGACGCAATTATAGAGGAGATAAATAAAACTTTAAAAGCTTTAATACCTCCTATCCTACAAGATCGTCATTGGAAGATTGCGGTGCGTAACTGTAAAAAATTCTTCAAGGTAAGATTAATTTTAATTAATTAATTGAAATTTAAAAATTAATTTGATAATCTATTTTAGCTTAGGAACAATTTATTTAATGTAATTGGGTATAACGATAGTCAGTCGTCAGGACCAAGAACTCGACCAAATTCAACTGTAGAATGTCAAAGATTTTGCGCTCTTCTGCGAAGTCTTGAATTCGTAAACCCAGTGAACTCGAGAAATGTTTGTCAGAGTTTAGGCGAAGAAAATGAATTGGATGAGAATTTAAAAAATTTTACATGTTCTGCAAAAATGGCACAGCAAAAGTTTATTATTGAAACATTTATTAATAAAAATAATTCGTTTCAATTTAGGCTAATACCTATTACAAAACAAGAAGCCAATGCTCAAAAAAATGAACAAAATATGAAGAAAGAAGATATTTTGCTTAAAATAGAAACTCTTCTTGAGCAGCTTGGTGAAAGTGCCCAAAGAAAGTACTCGAGGTTAAGGTCGAAAAATCGAAAGCAATTGTTAGAAATACTACAAGAAATCAAATGCTTATTCGAACCTGACAATGAGCTTAACGATCAAGACTGTCCAGACAATTTGGAAGTAGAAGCAGATCAACAGGAATTGTGATCTAACACAAATATATAACTCATTTAGAAGTATGTCGGATGTTTCTAAAGTTACTATACGCATCCTATTTTAAGTGACCTTATATATAATTATTTACAGCTGTTTTTATAAATTCTGGGACATCTGGCAAAAAATTTACCAGCCGAATATTTACCAATTCGATAAGTTTTTATTCGGCAGTGATCATTGCCAAAATCATGAACTTATTGAATCGACAAATATTCAGCCGGTAAATTTTTTGTCAGTCGTCCCAGAATTTATGAAAGTGGCTGTAAAAAAGGGACATTTATAGTGACCTCTGAAACATCCGGTATATGCACTTATTGGCTTTTTTTCCCTCTTTTTATTGGCATTTTTATATAATAAGGAATTAAGTTATTTTTATCAAGCTATAAATATGATTTACATCTAGATCCCGATTATCCAACGATCTCATTAATAATTTTTTTTTCGTTTATTACTATTATTATTACAGTATTAGCTATTTATTAAAATGTATTTATTTCTTGATTTATTTCTTGTAGCTAGGAGTTTTACCATGTCACGTTCTAAGTGCTATTTGGTAAGAAAGGATACGAAAAGTTTACTGGTTCGTATTGTTATATTCCTAAAGGATGTTAATTCGTATGCTAAATTGCAATTGCGTG